AAAATTAATTTGGTGAAAGTATTGATTAATCAAGAATATTGTAACTATACTTCATCGCATCAAACATGAATATTCATGAGTTTTTGAAGTGGAAATTAATTTTGCTGTAAATTGCGTCTGTTATTTTGCCATTTAGATTCACTAGTGATAAGTTGTAGCCTTTTTTTACCTTACAAAATGCAAAACATTCTGTGTTAGCATAGAGAAAGAAAGCTCCCTGAGCACTGTCCAAATCCAAATCAGATACATTTTAAAACCTATTTTAAGAATAAGAGAGGATTTTAGGTTTCGAGGCTAGGCTTTAATTCTTCGTATATAAGTTTCCACGTCCAACGCTAGAAACCGGGTTTCGATACCCTTGGTGGGCAGAGCACAGACAGACCGTTGTGTAACTTTGTGCTTAACTTCAAACAGACAAATCCACGTCCTCGTTCTGTGAGTTTGTGGGATTCAACACTAGGTGGCTACCTATTATTATAAAAGAACACATGGATTATAGCTCATAACGTGTCGCACTTGAAACTCTTCTATTAGTTAGTAAAGGCCAGAATGAAATGAAATTAATAATTCGAGAGTCTTGAGATTGCCAGCCTGAAACTAGCCCTCAACCACCAAAACTCCGTTTACCATCAAATAACAAACTTTTTCTATATATATATATATATATATATATATGTATTTTAATATAATTGGTTGTTTTCAATATTTTATTAATAATTTGTTCCATCTAAGAGACTTTCTTTGATAATGCAAACAGTATTGCAGTTTTGTATTTCACAAGACTATTAAAACAAGATTACAGAAACTTGTGTGTACAAAACAAACAAGGAACATTTAAAATTTCATACTAGTAAAGGTAAGGAAATATAAAGAAAAATCGACAATGAAATGGTAAAAACTTTCCTTCTGAATATGTAAAACACTACTATAACGTCAAGTACTGAAAAAGGGGGGACAGGTACATTCATAAGACCACTTTGGATAGTCGATGTTTCCAGCAGTCGTACTTATCTAATATACTTGTGTTATCAGTTTTTTTTCTATTTTGTTTCTTTAAGAAACTCCATGAAATTACCACCGACCAGTTTTGTCGTTTTAGTGTATCAATTAGTCATGTATGCTATAGCAGAGGGCAGTTTTTTAATGTTGTGCAGTTTGCGTACATTTGTTAGCCTTTTTTCTTCGAAAAGTGACTGTGCTGCTTCAAAAATCCCGAATCACTGATGTAAGAAACGTTTGCAGACATTTCGATCCACCTTCTTTGAATTGTTTATAAAAAAAAGGTATATATATATATATATATATATATATATTGCAGATTTGTCTCCCCCCCCCCGAAAAAAAGTTTTAACAAAGATCCAGAAGTATAAAAAGAGAGAGGGGGAGAGCTAACTTATTGATTACAAGACCGGTTACAACCCTTGTTGCTTCTATCCTATATATTCCTAAAATACTAGCGTCTGGAATCGATCACACGTTTGCGACATCCGCGTCTATCTACAGACAACTCGATCAGAGACATACATCAAGAATTACAGAATAGTGATTTAAATTATTGATCTGTTTCCCAGTTTATCTTTTATATTCCGACGTATGAACACTTATATTTTTAACTTATACAATAGAGGTTGAAGCTGATATATTTGTTAACTAATAACAATAAGCCATGAGGCTGTATTAAAAGAGCCGGGCGTGACCAAGTGATTAGCGTACCAGTCTGTGAATCTATGAGTCTTTGGTTCGAGTTCCTCTGCAGTAAAATTACGCTCTGCATTTTGAAACCGTGACGGTTAAATCCCACTATTCGATTAAAATAGCTCGAGAGCTGGCGGTGGGTTCTGTTAAATAGCTGCCTTCCTCCTAGTTGATCAGTTCAAAATTAAATTCAGCCAGCATATAGCCCTTATGTAGTTTTGTTCATATTTTGATGGTTCTGTTGGAATCATATCTGGGCTATGGAATGGCCAAGGCACATATGAATGATATTTTGAACCACTTTTTTGATACGACATGGTGCATTATCATGTTTAAAATATATGATTCTCCCGTTAAAATATCACTGTGCAACATGTTGCAATACCGCAAAATATTCGTGGTTTCTTTAACTCTGACCATATCCAAAGCTATTAAAGATTGGGGTGGTACAGTCTGAGCTTTCTTCAGGTTGCCATCAAACCCGTACTTCTTACATCCGACGTTCATTTAGCGAGATTCATTGTTCCGCACAGTGGTTTTCATTATCCTTCACTCTAGGTTTGAAGTTTAGAGACCATGAGACGACTTGTAGGCTACGGTCTGTCCATGTAAAATCCAGCAGGATGGATCACCCTGCTCTTAGAAGGTGAGCTGTCCTTCTGCAGTTCCTAAGGTCTCATCGAAGTTCTGGGCGAGACAGGATTAAATGTTTGGCGTCACTGGAACACTTCCCCCAAAAAAACATTTTGAATGAATTAAAAACAATACACTAAAGTTCTTCATTAAAAAATATTTTGGAGTTTGCATGAAAAAATAAAAGACTGCTCAATCATTCTGAAACTTTTTTAAAAAAAGGTTTATTCGATCACTAGAAATATTTTCTGAAAGTTTGAACCAAGTGGAAAAAATAAAACTAGGAAATCCTGAAACAAATATCAGATCAAAAAATCTTCACGCATTTGTTATGATTATTCTTATTTTGTTGAACAATTGATAATTTATCATCAGATTGTAATGATTAAGTACGTTTTACTCTGTATTAAAGCGGTGTTGGAATCTCACCACGTCGTTACAGCCCGTGTCAACACGTTCGGTCATGATCTGCTTGATGACCGTGCAGCTTGACTATAACCTTGTTGCGTAGTTTTCATTTTAAAGGGCTTTGTCTCACATTGCCAGTTCCCTCGCAAAGAAATCCAAAAGGCTTTGCGTTTGACGACTTGACCTGTATGTCTTTGGAATAGATCGAATGCCCTTTTCAATCTCAAGCTGCCTGAGGTATGCGACAGTTGAAGAAATATGTCTTGTAAGCAACTTGTGCACACGTGACTTTTTCCTTTCCCAGACGGAGATTTTTCCTGATTATGTTGCGTACCGATGCCTGAGGTAGTGAACGTTTTTTACCATTGATCTTTGTGTTAAACGACGCCGCACTTTGCTTACCATAGCTGGATTACGACTTGTTGAAGGTCCCTTTCTTGGTGGTCCTGAAGTCCAAGGGATATCCTTGTCTTGAAAATTTTAAATTTTCAACCTAAACATATCTTTATGATCTGAATGTATGAAAATTTTGTGTTGAAAAGGGCTAATACATACCCTTCCCAAAAAATGTCAATTTTCGGTGGCATCGCTCTACCTACGCAACGCCAAACGATGCCAATATGTACTTTTGATACATTCCGCTACATTGCGTTATCAGCTTGTTGCGTGTCTTGCTGATCTGCATATTCAAATTCATTTCAATATAAAGTACTCAACCCTATGTATGTCAACGTATCTTGTTAAGTCTTTCTTAAATACATTTCTTCGTTGCTAGGCAACAGTCAGGAAATTATGTTTGTTGATTTTTTCTTATTGACTGTAACGTTTATGAAATTTCGTTTTGAATATTAATTTTCCGTAATTTAGTTTATGTGACTCTTCTCTCTAACAACCATCTTTTGGGGCAAGAAATGTATACGTATGTTATACTTGATTAAAAAAAGGCGCCTGACAATGCCAAGCTTAATTGTTAGAAAGAGTACGAAAAGGTGCTAATGTCTTGTTTTAGAATCTTGCTGTGATGTTTTACCGTACGTTTTTAGTACTTTCTAATAAGATGCTTTTTCTTTATCTTATTTAAAGCTGCAGAATAGGCTATCAGTGGTGTGCCCACCGCAAGGATCGAACACCGAGTTTTAGTATTATAAGTCTTTAAGTTTACCGCTGAATCATTGGGAAGCTAATTAGGATGCAAAACTTTTTCTTTTTCTATATCTGTAATCTGATGAGTCCAAAGAATTTAAAATTAATTGTATTTTAAAACAAGTTATGAATTTAACCTTTCTCTCTAACAGTTTGCAGACAGACTTTTACACAAGCACCAGGTCACATCCAAGTCGTCGCCAGTAACTACAGTCAACTTGGCTACACTCGAGCTAGTGCCTCATTCACGCACCTCCTTACACCACCATGATGCTCAACTTCAAGCACATGTGCAAAGAAGGAGCGTGAGTCACCTGTTTGCCTGAGGTGCGAATCACCGAGGTTTGATCCCACTATAGAGAAAGCCAGATGGGCATGTTGTTCCCTTCCCATCATGATTTCCAACTCCCTCAAGTCTTTCGCTCCAGGGCATCAATTCTCAGAGTAACGTTTTAATGGCCAGAAGACATGGAGAGTGGTTTTAATTTATATTTCAAATTCCAGAAAATTTCAAAAGACAAGTCAGATACGTGTATCCCAGAGAACATTTTTATTGTGTTTTTTATTATCACTTTGAAAGAAACAGTTATATTTTCTCAACTTGTTATATCATGTGAAAATACTTATATTTTGTTGAGAGAATTCCTTAGATTTCAATTATGATACGTCATAAAACAAATATACTTTTTTAGTTTAGTGTGTTTAATAATGTGCCTTAATAAAACTGCGTAAAGAAAGTTTATTTGTATTGTATCTTGTAAAAACGTTTATGAAAGTCACATGAACTGTGAATCATCGTTTTATGATGTGCTAACGTTCGTTTTTGCACTCCGTATATTAAAAACTTGTATAAAGAAATGTCCCTTGTTTTTAATTAGATTTCTTAAATAGGTTACACTAACTAACTTTCACATCGAATGTTTATTAGATTTAATCATTTTTATCGTTTCATTTTGCTACAGTCAAAGAAAATGCTAGGCTCGGTTTGTTCACTAGCATTTTTCTTCTTGTTTTTTAGTTACAATAAATAATTAAAGAAAATGGATTTCGAAAAAAAATGTTGGTTTGGGAAACCGGGACGGTCGAAAACGTGAATATAATTAAGCTGAATTCTTGATACTTTGTCAAAGAGTAACAGATATTCGCGCAATGAGAAATGCCATAATTACCAGATGGAAGTAGACATGGTGCTAAAAAAATAATGTTTTTGTGAACATAAGTTAGTACTGTATAGTCATAAAATTCCAAACCTGTGAATGTAATTGATTGTTACAGATGACCATTGACGTTTTTGGTTTCAAAAAATTAAGTCGCCACGTTTTTGTAATCAGTAATACTTTCCAGTGGACATAGTTAAAAGTGTCACTCTTAATTCATATTTAGTCGAAGTTGTAATGGATATTTTGTATTGGTGGAAAAGATACTAAGGCTATCTGCCGCCGTTCCTAATTATGAACTATTGGCCTATCACCCAACATCCACGCTAAGTGATTTACTGTCACTCTTATAATGCACCACAGCTTAAAGTGTGGGCAATATTTTTTGGTACCTCACGGATTTGCGCCTGGCTTGCTAGCTCCGATATCCAGAGTTCTATCAAAGAGCCAACCCCGTAAAGCCAGATAGTGATGTAATTGAGATCATTATATACATATTTCGCTACCGTTGTAGAAAGCATATATGTGAATGTTATGTATATAACATACGTAACGCTATGACTTACGTTTAAAATCGTAGTAACCCTCTATAATCGTGCACTTTTCACTTAATCAAATATTTGAATTATTTGGTGTTAAAACTATTTTATTATTATAGGTTATTATTTTATACATATGGTAGATATGGTTTGGTAGTTGTTAAGCACAAAGCTACACAATGGGCTATTTGTGCTCTGCTCGCCAACAATATAGAAACCCGATTTTTAGCGTCGTAAGCCTGGAGACTTGTCGCTGAACCACTGGAGAGCAAATATGTTAGTATCGACTGTATGGTAATTTGTGTTCTCGCGTAATATGTATGTATGTTAACTACATGTTTCCCCCCCCCCCTCAAACATTCTTAGGTTTGCTTCTAAATGTTAAAAAATATAAAACAGAATGGCACAATGCGTGTTACATATACGAGGGAATTAAGACTATTTACATTGAATACACGCATGCGCAGATTTTCATTTCTACAACCTTTATTAACCTTACGTAATACGAATTTTCGCAGTTCCAAAGTCCTTTTGAATATAATAAAAACTAATTTGCTCTTTGAAATCTTTAGCAGTTATACATATGTCAATTTCTGAGAAACCTTTCACGGGGTATGTATATGGATTGCCTCAGTTTGAAAGTGTCTGCAGACAATTTTCATATGGTAATAAACTTGTTGCCATGGCGATAGCATTACGTTATTACGTGTGCTTTTTCCTTTCGTCTCATCATATGTTGCTCTAAAATTAGTAGAAATGTTTGAGTATTCTATCGTGGCAGACAAATAATTATTTACCCGAGTTGACAACTAATAAAAAGCCGAAATAGCTGTCATTTATTAAACACGATAGAGGGCGTATACTGTAGTTTTTTGCTCACGCAAGCAAAACCAAGTACATTAGTTTGATAGCATGTTTAATATATTTAGATATGTCATTGACCTCTTTTTGTCATATGAATTTGTATCATCTTTACTTACAAGTTCTCTCACTTTTTATTTATTATTAATTTAATAACCAGTAACTATTATACCTCGAACTACTTATAATCTACGTTTGTTTGTTTTAGAGCAAGCCACGTTGCTGTATCCACCGCGAGGAGTCGAACTCCGGATCTTAGCGTTTTAAGTCTGTAAACTTTCCGCTGTTTCACCAGGAGACGCTTCTTTATATGAAAAATAAAGTTGTTTATTTTTCAAGTCCAAATGCCGTTTCATAAAGAATGTATTGAAACTTTTTTAAACAAAGAAATAACAATATTACACGAATTATTGTATTAACTTTGTGTTGAGCTTAGTAGAAACTGGGGAAAATATTCTGCTTAAAGCATTTTTGCCCCCCCCCCCCCACCAATGGCACAGCGGTATGTCTGCGGACTTACAGTGTTAGAAACCGGGTTTCGATACCCGTGGTGGGCAGAGCACAGATAGCCCATTGTATAGCTTTGTGCTTAACTACAAACAAACAAACAAAGAATTTTTCTTTAAGATTTTTTAAAAATAATATAAGAAAGCTGACGTTCACTATATATACCAAATAATATGTTCAATACAACTCGAGGCGCAGACAAGCGAAAATTAATAAGATAATTATATTAGTGTATAAATAATTCATCTCGCGTGTGTGTGCGCGCGCGCTCTTTTGAAGCTGTATAGTGGCAACAAACAAATAATCAGTGCTATTTACAGTGTATTTTTTTAACAGAAATATACGTAATTATGTATATCTTATTACTGCACATGAGCTGATTAATTTTGAATTGAAGAAGGATTTTCTCTCACAGTTATCATTAGGAAAGCGATTTTTACATATTTTTTTTGCATTAAACTGCACACTCCATGAAAATATTTGTCTATATAGTATATTTTTTAATGTATATCAAGTTTAAGAGCGCGAAATTAACGTTAAGGTATCTAACATTGGTGAAGTTTGTCAGACTTTTCAGACTGGATGTGTAGGACTGTGAATCCGAGGTCCATCATTCGCATCTCGCTGCCGCGAAATCGCGTTTCGCACTTGGTGTACGTGGGTGTGTTATAGAGTGACGGTCAAGTCACACTATTCAATAAGAGTTAGCGGTGGGTGTTGTTGACTAGCTTCCTTCTGTTAGTTAAAAATTAGGAACGACTAATGCAAATAACCTTTGTGTAGAGTTGCGCTAGTATCCGAGACATACAAACAAGCAAACGTTTCAATACAGGTTATTTATATATATATATAAGAAATGATGTGGAACTGAGCGTATTTTACTTTTTAAAAAAAGAGGTCACTGATTTAGCGAATTATTAAACAATCGTTACTGCTCCAGTGTCTTGCTCTATGACGTAACCGACAGTAGCGTCACCCGCATCACGCTGTTACTCAGGTGAACCGATGGTTTGTTAGCTGTGTCTAGACAGTGGCGGCCTTATGATTTGCTTTATTTAGCAGTCTTTAGACTTAGCTGTTACATTTACTATCTGATACAGGAGGAGATCTCCACAAGTGAACTGTGTTGCTAGCGCTATAACCTACGAAGTAGCAACTAGTGAAACACTACGGGTTCAAGGAAATGCCGCAAGCTTGGTCACTGACTAATAAGGTTTTTGAATTGTTGTCGAACTTTTTTCGAAGTTATCTTAGTTTTGGAAGTTTGTACCACATGACAGGTAAGAAAAGAGGTCGCTGCTTCCACTAAATTGTTTTTTTATTCAAAGGATATATGTATTTTGAAGTTGTAATTTCAATAAAATTCTCTTTAATTTCTTTTCAAAAAACATTCATAAAATTTATCAAAATGAGTGATTAGTGTTTGTTTTTGGAGTTAAGACTTGTATAGATACACTTAAAATGTATAGGAACAAAAGTTGTTTCTTATCTTTCTAGTCGGGCGGTGTCTCGAGTTAGCGTTTCTGGACTGTGAATTCAGTGTGGGTCATGGGTGTACTATAGTATAAGAGTGACGGTCAAATCACACTATTCGGTCAGAAAATAGTAGCCTTTGAGTTGGCGGTGGGTACTGTTGACTAGCTGCCTTCCCTTTAGTATACCAGTTCAAAATTATGGACGGCTATACTCAGATAGCCCTTTATGTATCTTAATATTCTTAAACAAACCTCTCGTACGAGCAGTTTATAAAGAAAAGATGTCACAGATTTCATTTTAAAATATGTAATTTTAATCGTAATATTATTTTTGAACCTCCAACATAATAGGAAAGGAAAAAAATTTCCAAGATACATAAACATTTTTTGACTTGCTGTTTAAATGTTGATTAACTAAACATAGCCACATTACTCAAATATAAATGTTGAAGTAATTAGGCATAGGATTCAATTAGGTATGAAACTGCTGTTAAATAGCTAGCGGATATCACACTATTGCAAATACGCAATTTCTTTTTCGAACGAAAAGAACAGTATATCAAAGGGAGCTCTGTTTTATAAAAACCCATTCTCATACGCTAGAAATACTTTCGGTCGAAATGTTCAAACCTGACCGTTTTCTAAATGAATCATGTACTCCAACAGAGAAGGTCTTGTTGTTTTACTCAATAATTACAAAAATATTCTGCCAATGATAAGAAAGAACAATCCAACCTAGACATTTCTGCAAAAGATGTGTTTGTTTGTAATTATACACAATGGACTATATGTGCTGTCCCCCCCCCCCCACGAAAAACGACTTCTAGCGTTATAAGCCTGCAGACTTTCCTCTCTGCTACTGGGGGCATTCTGCAAAAGAAGAAAATCTTTAGAAAATTTCTAGATATGCATGTTTAAGGCGATCTTTCCAGAATGTTACTTAAACGTTCCTTTATTTTATGCCTTTCTTTTGTTTTAATTTGAACTCCCCTAACGGTTTAGCCGCAAGGACATTTCTCAGTTTGATTAAGATTCGACATGACATGTTTTTTTATAATGCATAATTAATTTAACGTAATTGTTTAGCTTAATGTAAACAGGGTTTTTATAATAAACGTCACCTGGGTTATAGATTAATGATTTGTTTAATGGTTACTTGTAGTTCTAGGCTGTAACGCTGAAAGTATACAAAGGAATTTTTTTCCCAGTCATAACGGTCTTTTAAATTTAAGCTTTTTTTGTCCAATACAAGATTAATGTAAGCATAATACCTTTGTTGTTGTTAAGCGCAAAAGCTACACAATGGTCTGTCTTTGCTCTCCCCCATCGCGGGTATCGAAACCCGATTTTTAGTGTTATAAGCCCTCAAAATTACCGCTGAGCTATCTTGAGTAGTATAATAGTTTAAGGAAAATAATTTTAAATAAGAAAATACCATTTTTGTTTTCTAAAACTGTTCAATGATAAAATTCGTTAAGATTACGATTTTTCTATTTATTATATTAACATATTTTAATGAATGGTTAACAAATTTCGCAAACATATACAGAGACGTGTACATAATTCATAAGCGCAATAAGTGTAAGAAAATAATATTTTAGATTACACATTTGAAAGTTTGGTTACTTAACAAAGAAACTGGTGATATGTGGTGTAAATGACATCAAAATGCACACCCTACTATGTATGTTTGTTCAATTCTATCTAATGAAATGAGGCAGTTTTTTCATGATCTCGGGGACGATTAGGAGAAATCCCAAAGCCAAATGTCATGCTTTGCGCACGGAATTAAGGAGTATTGGAATGCAGTGTTCACTGATAGAGGTGTTTCTGTTGGGATGATTAGGAGACATCCCAAAGCCAAGATGTCATGCTTTGCGCACGGAATTAAGGAGTATTGGAATGCAGTGTTCACTGATAGAGGTGTTTCTGTTGGGATGATTAGGAGACATCCCAAAGCCAAGATGTCATGCTTTGCGCACGGAATTAAGGAGTATTGGAATGCAGTGTTCACTGATAGAGGTGTTTCTGTTGTAATGATTCGAAGTATGTATCTATTCTGTCATATCTTCTGATCTTCCTCACATGTTGTTAAAGATGAAAATATATTCTTTTTTCTTTCTTTTGGTAAGTGAAGGAAAACCTTAGGAGTCACGTTATCTTTCTACTAATTCTGTTCTTTGGACTAAAGATTGGATCTTGTTGTGTCACCTTGGGCTTACCAAGTGGAAGTACAACTGTGATACCAAACTGATCTCCTTAGATATTTTTACTTTTGAAAAGATGAAAATAAAGTCATAGTCGGCCTTAGGCAAAATTGTGGCCTGTGCGAACTTGGTATTCGGCGCTTTCGCCCCTGTAAAGTAGACAAGAACTGCTAATTGCAATGCCAATTTTAGCGCCCTGTGTGGGGTACACGACGCCCACCCCAAGGGTCGGCTCTGATTAAAGTATACCTTCTCTGACGTTTATGCCAATGTGAATTATATTAAGGCAATATTATGAAGTGAAACAAATTGAACTTAAGAACTACTTATATACCTTCTACATATCTTTTGTACAACATCGTTTTAATTAATAATTGTTTTTTAAGTATCAGCTCAGATGATGTTTGTTTTTTTTAATTATGCACAAAGCTACACAAGGGCTATCTGTGCTCTGCCCACCACGGGTATCGAAACCCGGTTTCTAGCGTTGTAAGTCCGCAGACATACCGCTGTGCCACTGGGGGGGGGGGGGGG